CATGACCCACTGCAGTTGAAATCCCAGCCCCTGTGGCTTGAAAAAATACACTGGGTGCATGTGTGTAGTGTCCCAAATGCTGATGTGATGGAGAGATGGAGGAGAAGGGATTGTGGTGTAACCATGTCCCATGGTGGTGGGGTGTTCTTCCTCTTCCTCTTGCCCTCTCTGTCTCTTGCATACCCATGCCCTTTGGCAATTAGAAAAAAAATTGCATTGTCTATCCTGTTATTCAATATTCCTTGATCCTTCATCATTTGTAAATTCATTAAACAAAATTTAGATTGGGTACCACTTTTATTGGGAAATTGGAGTTAAACAATCTCCTTTTTGCCTTGTTTGCCAGGGAACTGAGAACCAAACATGTTCCTCCTCTGAAGTAAATGACTCAAGTCAGTGCTTGCTATATCTATTTTCCCACTTCCTTTCTTTCTTTCTTTCTTTTTTTTAAATTGATATACAATTTTTGAACATTATAAAAGGAACACATGCTGTGGTTAAAAAAACAAACTGAACAGTACAGTTCCCAATATGCAGTGGTAGCTACTGGCATTCTTATTGACTTTGATCTGTTTTTTTTTTTTTTTTTTTTTTTTACTTAGCTTGCACTGTGTGCTGTTAATATTGTAAGGTACCTGAAATTCATCTTAAAAATAAACTATTATATTTGTTTTACTTAAACCTCAGATGTCTAAAAAATTGTTAATAATTGGCTTCCTGGCATCCAGAAAACATGATTGTATCAAATTCACCAAACATGGTTCTGTGAAATGCTAACATATATGAGGGGTCTTTGAAAAGTTCATGACGGGGGCTGGAAGGTGGCGTAGTGGTTAAGGCACTGGACTCCCACATGGCCGACTGTGGTTTGAGTCCAGGACCTGGTGGCTTGCTTTCTCACTGGGATCAGCAGATGGCGTAATGGTTATGTTGCTGGACTCCCACATAGTCAACTGCAGTTCGAGTCCCAGACCCGGTGGCTTAAACTCACACCAGGCACATGTGTGTGCATGCTCAAAATCCCAAGAGGAGAATGGAGGAGTAGGAATTGTGGTGTGGTCATCCCCCCTGGGGGTGTGTTTGATTTCTTCCTTTCTGTCTCTCTCTGTCTTTCTGGCCAGCACATGCACCCTATAGCAAAACCCTAAAAAAAAGAAAAAAAAAAAAAAAAAAAAAAAAAAGAAAAGGTTTATGGAAGCCAGATCTTGGTGGTTAAGGCAAGTGGATCCTTCATGGCTAGCTGCATGGTTTGAGTCCTGGACCTGGCAACTTTAAAAAATACTTGGCATGCGCGCATGTGTATGTTCAAAATTCCAAGAGGAGAAATGGAGAAGGGATAGCAGCATGACTATTCCCCATGGTGGATGCTTTATTACTTTTTCTCTCCCCGTGACCAAGTGTACAAGCTCTTTAGCAAATTAAAAAAAAAGTTTAGGGGCCAGCAGATGGCATAATCATTATGTCAGTAGACTCCCATGCAGTTGACCGCAGTTCGAGTCCTGGACTCAGCAGCTTAAAACTCACATTGGGTGTGTATGCATGTCTGCCCAAAATCCCAAAAGGCGAATGGAGGAGAAGGGATTGCCACATGGCCATACCTCCTGGGGGTGATTTCTCACTTTCTGTCTCTGGCAAGCACATGCATCCTGTAACAAAAATCTCTGTCAAAAAAAAAGTTTATGGGGAACCAGCAGTTAGCGTAACGGCTATGTCGCTGGACTCCCACGTAGTCGACCGCGGTTCACGTCCCGGACCCGGTGGCTTAAACTCACGCCAGGCGCGTGTGCATGCGTGCCCAAGATCCCAAGAGGAGAATGGAAGAGAAGGGATTGCGGCGTGACCATCCCCCCTGGGAGGAGATTTCTCGCTTTCTGTCTCTATGTCTCTCTCTGTCTGGCGAGCGCATGTGCCCTATAGCGAAAACCTCTCCAAAAAAAAAAGTTTATGGTACATGCTTTTTATGAAAAAAAATATATATGCATGCATTTCAAAACATTTTTGCACTAAAATAAATTCATACTTATATTTTCAACAAGCTTTTTGAAGTCCCTTCCCATATAGTGTTTTAAACTTAAAACCAGTAAATTCTGCCTTTTAATCTTCTATGAAAGCGTTCTCATCAGGGCTAGCAGTTGGCATAGTGATTAAGGTGCTGGACTCCCTGTGGTTTGAGTCCTGGACTGGTGGGTTGAAATTCATACCAAGGGTTTGTGTGCGCATGCGCAAAATCCCAAGAGGAGAATGGAGGAGAAGGGATTGTGGCGTGACCATCCCCTCTGGGGGGTGATTTCTCGCTTTCTGTCTCTCTGTCTCTTTTTGTCTCTCTGGTAAGTGCATATGCCCTATAACAAAAATCTCAAAACCCCCCCCCCCAAAAAAAAAAAATCCTCATCTCTCCTAATTTATTTTAATGTCTTCCTTCCCAATCCAAACTGAATTATACTTAATCCAAGTTCTGTTTGGCTCTTTACTATATTTGTTTTAATCTTTAAAGCCTAGCATGACATTGAGTGTTTCTCATTGTCACTTAAGATTGTCCATCAGCCTCCTCTCTGTAGGAACAGCTGACAGAATACCTTCCTTGCTTTAGGAATCCAGTCAGCATGAATATATTCAGATTTGATTCTGCCAAACAGAGCCCAGAAAGAACCATATGGATAGGACACCTCCTTATCTGTAGACCTTTCTCTTTACAGTATTGAGTGTGCAAATTGAAAGAAAGGACTTTTTATTAGAATTTGGGTATTTCCATTTTTCAAATCATGTGACACTGATTTTTAAGGATTCTGTATCAAGAACTTTAAAAAGTAGATGGGTCTATTTTTTTGGGGGGGGAGAGGTTTTCGCTATAGGGCGCGTGAGCTCACCAGACAGACAGAGAGAGACATAGAGACAGAAAGTGAGAAATCACCCCCCCAGGGGGGATGGTCATGCTGCAATCCCTTCTCCATTCTCCTCTCAGGATCTTGGGCATGCACGCACACGCGCCTGGCGTGTTTTAAGCCACCGGGTCTGGGACATGAACCGTAGTCGACTACATGGGAGTCCAGCAACATAGCCATTACGCTAACTGCTGGTTCCCAGTAGATGGGCCTTTCATGCTCCACAGTTTTACTACCTTCTGTCTTTCATTTGAGTTTGCATGTGGGGAATAATGTATTTACCTGCAGCTTCACCTGAGCCACAGAAAGTAGTGAAAGTGGAAAACCTGGAACTGGGTTCTGGGCAGGCCAGTGGGATATGGGGACAAAGGTATGGACATACTTCTGTTAACAGAAAAGATGAAGACAGACCCAAGTTGCAGGTAGAAAAACTTTTCACTGAAATCTCTCATGTGAGGAGAGATTCCACTGGATGAGAAAAATAGAAACTTATTCAGGTGAATTTGTTCCCTGAGCAGAGGGTTCAGGTATAAAGTATCAGCCCAGCCTCACCAGAGTTGGTGTCAGTAGTAGACCCTGAAGAATTGAGCTTGAGCTTTGCTTTAAATTTGTCTCTAACGCCTGCCCTTATCCCATTGTATATGAGATCAGATTTATGTTCCTAAGGCTTTTTTCATGTGTGGCTTCCCTATGCTCAAATTTTTAGGGCCACTCACAGCCTTCTAAGATTTGCCCCAGGCCTTTATTTGCAACCTCATTTCCTAAGACCTCTGACTGCAGACTAGCTGGCCTCTTCCTTCCCACCAGCTTGGATGGGGGTACCTCCTTCCCCAACTTCTCCCACTTTCCCCTTTATCTCTTCACTCTGCTTTGTTTATATCATGGCACAATAGCTTGTCTTATTAGCGGACCTGGGCTTTGTCCTAGGTTAGTTAGATGTGTGACCTAGGTCAAATTATTCTTCCTCCTTGAACCTTTGTTTCCCCAAATGTAAGACTGAACTAGGGGACTTTTCTTTTCTTTTCTTATTTATTTCTTCCGTAAGTGAAAGAGATAGAGATAGCACCCCCAACAGGGTTTTGATGCCATAATCTAGTCTTTGCCAGCTACAGGTCATGGGCATGTACTCAGGGAAGTCTGTGGACGTGAACTGGGATCCTTCCCACGTGGGTTTGTCTCACAGAGTGTCATGTTTCACCACTGTATCACCATCCAGTCCTTTGGGTTCCTTTCAACGGTATTACGTAGTTTAGTGTCTGCTTTTTCCTTGGCTGACTTTAGGACAGAGGGCTCTTTCTTTCTTTGGTGTTTCTGAAGGACTTATTAATTGTTAGGTATTATAGTTAAAACTTTTTGTCCTATCTTCAACTACTTTTATTTTTCTTATTAAGGTTTTTGCCATTTGCAGGGCAGAAACAGACAGTGAAAGGGAAAGTGAGAAATCATTCCCGGGAGGATGGCCAGCCATCCTGCAATCCTTTCTCCTCCATTCTCTGCAATTCCTTCTCCTCCATTCTCCTGGGATTTGGGGCACATACACACATGCACCTGGCATGATTTTCAAGCCACCAGGTCTGGAATGTGAATCAATGTTGGCCATGTGGGAATCTCACAACTAACCACTATGCCACCTGCTGACCCTTCTTCAACTATACTTTTTAAAGATATATTTGTAAACTGAGAAAGCCCATTACTACAGCTAGTTTCCTAAGATGTGGATGAGGGAGAGGGCCTGTTGCACATCTTCTACTTTGGACTTCTGCCTTGTGTCTGAAGATTAGGAGGCGATAGGGAAACATAAAAGATCCCTGTGCCCCTTGTTGGGAGGACAAGGTGTTTCTTTGAAAAGGTGGCATATATTGGGTTTTTGGAAAACTCATGATGCATTTTTTTCTGTGTTTTTCTATGCAAGAATTTGTCATGACTTTTCCAGTGACCCAATATTTATCATTTTGGGACTAAGAAGATATGCAGTTTCCTGGAGAATTCCTGATGGTTCTCTGTGAGGCTGCTGTGTCTGTACCACTTGGGTTAGCCTTCTTATGCTATCTTTCCAGGGTGCCAGTCCTCTGGCATTTAGGGTAATATTGGTCATGTCACTTTCACTGTGTGTTTCAGGGCTCTGTTTGATTATGACCGGACTCGAGACAGCTGCCTGCCAAGCCAGGGGCTCAGCTTCTCTTATGGTGACATCCTGCATGTCATTAATGCTTCTGATGATGAGTGGTGGCAGGCAAGACTGGTGACCCCACATGGAGAAAGTGAGCAGATCGGTGTGATCCCCAGCAAGAAGAGGTAAGTTTTCCTGATATGAGCAAGGCCTTTCCTGCCCTCTTGCTGGTCCTTATTTTCTGAATATACTATAAGTTGAAAATTGCATCTGTGCCTTGTTACTCCTTTTTTGGTAGAGAGTTGGTGCTCAAGATTGGGTTTTCACTCACTGAGCCAAAAGGTGGCTGCTGTGTCCTACTGCTAAAGCCATATACTGGCAGCAACAGAATTTCTTTCTGACTCTATATAGGGTGGAAAAGAAAGAAAGAGCTCGATTGAAAACTGTGAAGTTCCATGCCAGGACAGGGATGATCGAGTCTAACAGGGTAAGTGGGACCCCCTCCGTTGCCAGGGCAGACTGCCAGTATGAGAAGAGGGATGAGAGACTTGAAGTTCACTGTGATATATAAGAGAACTGGGAAGCACAAAAGAATATTGCTTTTTCAGGGGGCTGGCTCTGTCCTATCAGAATATTGACTGCTTTTCAGAAAGCAGAGAGTGAGCACCTCATGTCCATGGCTAGTCTGTGCTCCTTCCCTCTGTGTAACTGGCTCTGGAAGATATATTGGAGTTGAACTATCTGGAAGGCTGACTTGCTCGGGGAGAATACAACCATTTCGTAGGTGTCTCCCTGGCTGCAGACCCTATCGGAGCTGTGGGGACCCTGAACAGAACCTGGCCTTGTCATGTAGCCAGGAAGGCCAGCCCTAGAGCTCCCACCTCTCTTCAAATCATGTGAGGCAGTCATTCACCCTTTTCTTCTATGAGCTTCACAGGCCAAAGAACTTCTGGAACAGTAGAGGGAAGAGAGATATGGAGTAGGTGACTCTGTGTATATCAATGGCACCTTAGGACATGTGTCCAGGAGGCTACAGTGACCTTTGTTCTGTAGGGAGTGCCACCAGTGAGTGCTGTGACTCTGGATTAGGTAGAAACCTCTTAACATCCCTACAACATTTTCCTGTAAACATAATTTCCCTCTTACATCAACTTTCATTTAATCTCATAGACTCCATTTGTGAGAGCTGGTCTTTTATTTAGCTCACCTTTGTCTCCATTTTAGTTTTTCTTGCATGCTTTAAAATCCATTGTTCTGTTTTTTTTTTTTTTTCCTTCTTCTGTCCTTCCCCTCCATCTTCATGTTCTTTCACAGTCGATCAAAACGAAACGTAAAAAGAGTTTCCGCCTCTCTCGAAAGTTTCCATTTTACAAGAGCAAAGAAAACATGGCCCAGGAAAGCAGCATGCAGGAACGTAAGTAGCTGCAGAGTCCAGAGAGCAGACCGCTTGCAGCCCCGTCCTCTTACCCACAGTTACCCCTTCCCTCATGAGGAGTCCAAGCATGATGTGTGTGGCCCCCTGTGCGCCCACGTGCACACACATGCTTATTTTCAGAATTGGGGCAGAAGTTGGTCTGCACAGTGAGATGTTGGGTCCCTTTGTTCAGCTCCTCACTTGGAATGAATGTTGGAGGCTCTGAGGTGGGATTGGTCCCAGGACCAGCCTCCAGGAAGTCTCTGGCATGGTGATGGAAGTGCCAGATGGAGCTCTGCTGTGGTGGTGAGGAATGGTTTGCAGCCAGCGTGTCAGGGTTAGAAAGCCAGTTTTTCAAGAGAACAAGGTGTAAGGTACTCAGTGTTGCTCTCCTGGCTTCTTCCTTTTGTGTTTCCTTTCCCTTAACTTCACTCATCTGTGTCAGGAGAACAGCCTGTTTTCCCCCAGGTCCCTGGAGTTAGAGCTGATTCTGGAATCCCATGCTCATATAAACACATAGGATTCCCACAGGATTCAGCACACTCACTGTCAGCCCAGCCTATGTATAGAGCCCATTTCCACATAGAAATCCTTTGTGCTTTAATGAATTGACATGGAAAGGCTGTTGCTCCACATTATACAAAGAAAGATTTATTGAGAAACATACAGCTGGTTTGGTAGAAAATGTTGTAACACTGAACTGAATTAACTTTAACAACCACTTTATTCTGATAAATCATTTTACTCTATCATATGCCTCAGAAATTTTAACCTAAGGTTTCTAAATGCCAGGGCAGCCTTGAAAAATATTTTTTCATTCATCTCAATGTGAATTGTAAACATCTCTCATTTCCCAGCAACTCCTCCATCTTCCACAGAGGGATCTTGAGGTCCTAGGCTGTTGGGATTAGCAGGAGACTAGTTGGATAGGAAACATCTTTAGGGAGCTGCTGCCTGATTCATAATCATGGTATGTAGAGGTCTTTGCCGTCTGGAGTGGCAGCTGGTAGATACATGGGTGCCCTTGTCCAGACTGAGGCCATGGCTCAGCATTCTGGGATGACCCAATAAGAAGCAATAGATAAAGCTAGTCCTGCTTGCCAGCAGCAGAAGGTGCTCTGAGCCAGAGACCCAAGTAGTTGCTGCCAAAGTTCACCAGATGAGTCCCCATTGAGCCCACTTGGGGAGGTGTTCACTGCTCAGTGGCTCATCCTGGGGGTGGGGTGGGGGTGGCGTGAGACCTGTTGGGTGACAGAGTTGAATCTGTTTAGTACTAATTCTCTAAAAATTGAGCTACTGCCCACCCCCACTACTCCCACCCCATGTCTGTACAACTCAGGGCAACTTTGCAGGTCACACCCAGACCACATGATGCTTTCCCTGAGGGGTTTGGACTGAGCGAGTCAGTACTGGGCAAAATTGCCTCAGAGATTAAAATTCTGCCAGTCCACTTGGCACATCTGGATGCTTTCTCTTTCGCACACCCCTGGAAGGAAGGAAATGGTGATTTGGGGGGCAAAGCCAAGACTGTGTTCTACAATTACAAATTGGTCAAAGCAGGTGTTCCAGGCCTTGAAATATCACTGGTCCTGTCCTTTGGGTCTAAAAGCTGGAGGCTTCCCCAGAAAGCTAGTCCACTGTAAGGCCCTCTGGCAACAAACTGGGCAGCAGGAAGTCCAGATATCTTATCTGACCTTGGATGTTCTTTCTGTAGCAAAGTTCTTAATCTCACTGTAGTTAGAGGTCTTCATCGTATTTCATACTTCTGTCACTAATGCTCACCTGCCTCTCTATTCTTCCTTCCCCTTGTCTTTTTTCTTGATTTTTTTTCTCTTCCCAATTCTTTCCCTCCTCCCCCTACCCTCCCCTTCCTTCCTATTCCCTCCCTCTCCCTCTCTCTGTCCTTGCTGTCTGTGAAATCAGGACTTCCCTGGGTTAAGTGACGATTATTATGGAGCAAAGAACCTGAGTAAGTTGAACTTACACACACCATTAACTGTCTTTGTGGCATGAATGGAATTAATGGGGGTGGGACATTGGGGACATGGGTGACATGAGGGGCGAGGGGAGGGCACTGTTTTGAGAATTCTCATACTGCAGCAGGAAGAAGTATGTGTGGCTCCAAATGTCACACTTTCGCTCTGGATCCCTAATAAATCCCTTTCATTCGTGTCTGTGTTTTCCTTTTGCACTTCACAGTGGTAGGGCATCAACTTTGCATCCCACCTGAGAAATGAGGTGTGACTATAGTCCTTCTCCAGGGTGACCCAACCACGAGGCTATAGTCCTTCTCCAGGGTGACCCAACCACTTAGCCAGTCTCTAGTCCATTGTCCAGGAGAGAGTGCCAGCTGTCTGGCTGCTTCTCCCAGTGGCACCACACCAAAGCATTGGGCTTAGGAATTGCAGCTCTGATAGTCTCTCTTACTAGGGGTAAGTGTGCTATGAACCCCTAACTCAGCCTGCCTCTGTGGGATGTCCTAGCAGACCCACAACTTCAGCAATAGCCCATGCTGGCTTTCCCCAGAGTGGCTTGGAGGAGCTGATCTGGTCTGGTGGGTCCTAGCACCATTTATGGATGATATATATCTAGTGCTTTCTCTCAGGAAAACTCTGAGTAACCTCTGAACTCTGAAAATAAAACCCTGAGTGGAAAATAAAAGGCCCTAGATGAAGGGGCCTTAGTGGCTGTCCCTACATCAGGCAGAGGCTGACCAGGTGGGTCCTGCCAGCGTATACTCTCCTTCAACAACTAAGAAAGGCCCAAGGTAAAGGAGCAAGGGTGGGACCTCTTCAGGAACTAGCTGTGTGGCAACTCTACCAGTCCTTCATGGGTGGGGGTGGGGGGCCACAGCATATCACGGTCTGGAACTGCGTGGTCTTGGCTGAAACGTTCAGTGTCTCTCTCCATGGTTTGGTGTGTCCATGTCTCATCTTCATTTGCCCGTCATCCTGGGAGGGGTGGGCTCTGTTTGTGCCTCTAGTGAATAGGCTCCTCTGCTTGAGCTTTCTGCACCTGCACTTAGAGATAAGGAGATACCAACTGTCTGAGACAGGAGGGCTATCTTTCT